TGCATGGCCTCAGTAGAACCGTTCCCCGAATAACGGGTTGTACTGAAACTGAAAACTCGATTGCAATGTAAATTGTAGTTGACAATTAAGTTGCTTGATTGATTGATGTGATGACATCATCAGAAGGGACAGGGCCCCGAGCAGATCTGATCACCTGAGCATATCTGATACCTACATCAGCCCCATCTAAGCTCAAATGAAGCTAGATAAAATTTAATTCAATCAACTTGTTTTGAAAGCTAACACTAGAGTCGCACATCATTACAAATGTGCACAAAACTATGTTCATGTTTAGTCAATTTAAAAAAAAAAATGCACATTTTCACAGTGCGGTATTTACATTAAAAAGGGAATCTAAATAAAATTGCACATGAGTATAAATGCAAATCAAACCTCCAATTTTTATTTGTAAGGAATTAATGTTGTTCCTACTTTATAAAAACTCGCTACTTTGTGTTGGCCTACCAAAAAAATACGCTGATGTTTGTGGTTTATCCTGATAAAATGTGATCAAGCTCAATGGTTTGAATTTCTTTGCAGAGATTTGTATCTATTGCTGCAGTGAAAAACACTAGATGTCCCTGACGCTCCAGGAGCCCGAAGGTGTTCACTATGGTTAGCCACTGGAAAGAATGGAGGAGAGGCATGAACGATAAGAAGCAGTAGGAAAAAAACACAACAGTGGGATGAAACAAAAAGAGGAGGCTGGTGTGTTTGTGGCCATGGGGGATGTGGGTGATTTCAGATGAGATAAATGGGCATGAAACGGATTTAAGTGGAGAAATGAATGGAAGCTGGGAAACAAACAAAAATAACTGGGTGACGTAAAGCAAGAGAAATAAAAAAATGTCAAATAATAATGATATATATCACTTTTTAAAAAAACGTTTAAAACAGTAGTAGAATCCTAAGTTAAATAAAATATAAATCATATATTTAGATTGGGGTTTATAGGTTTTTCTTAAAACAACCGTTTATGAATTCATGTTGCAAGTGTTGAAAGTGGGGAAACAAAAATCTGCTTTTAGTAGTTTTTTTTAACAAGGTCAAGGCATTGCAGATCACTATAAACCAGAAACATTTCTAATAAATGATGCACTCTATGACTTATGCTCTCCATTTGATTCCAGTTAAAGGACCAAAGCAGTACTGGGATTGGTTCTGCAAGTATCTTTAAAACTCTCCGTATCAGAGTGCCAAACAGATGTATCCACTCCAGATTTAAGTGCACAAATGTCTGGCAAGCTGGCTTGCACAGAGCAGTAATCACTCACTTAAACTCATGCGCACTCACATTTACTCCAAAAACCCTACAAGAAGAGGGAAGCTGAAGACGATGATGTCACGACACAAACAATAGCTCATTGAGCCTGGCGCTGGTGGTCAGGAAGCCACACCGTGTTAAGGAATAACATCTGCAGACTGGATTGACACAGACGAGAGAGTTTGGAGCAGACCTGGCATCTAAAACCCTCAAGTCTTTTTCTACAGTGTCAGCCCAGGCTGAGAGGTGCTGGGTGAATCCCAGCAGTTTGCTGAGCAGATCAGATCAGAGGATGGTGTCTGTCTGGCATTCCTGTCTGTCTGTAGCTGCAGAAACTGAGCAAAATCAATGAAACTGACCTCTACACTGGAAAAACAATCTAGAAATAAGTAAAAATTTCTTAAATTAAGTGTATTTACCCTTAATTTGAGTAGGTAAATGAGATCATTTGCCAATGGAATTAGTATTTTTACTCTTTAAATAAGATCATTAGATAATATGCACTTAAAATAAGACAAAGCAATTGTGTTTTTTTTTTTTTTATTTTAAATGTAAATTGTCTTGTTCCATTTGCAAAATTTCTATTTTAGCTCCTTAATCCATTAATCCATTTATTTTAAGAAAAAAAATGACTTTTCTAGATGTTGATTTTTTCTAGTGTAGTAATAAGTCTGGTGGACTAGTGAGGTTTTCCCCATATGGTTCTAGTTACTGCCTCCCTCCCCCCAGTGGCGCTGCGCCGTCTTCCTCAAGCCTTTTAGAGCTATTAAGGTAATTATATGTAAGGAAGTAATGTAAGCCGCTGCTGTATTCCCACAGTCCTGCAGGGACTCTGCAAACGATGCTCAGAGTGGATGAGTTTACGATCACAGAAGAAAATCATTAAAATAGTTCAAAGGAGTATTTGGAGTTCAGGAGTTTGTTCTTTTATCTCATGTTTTTGGCCACTGTCATCATCTTTCTGTGGTGTTGTTTTCTAATGGGTCTAATTTGTCTTGGTTTTATGTATCGCCCCTCCCTTCATGCACGTCCTCATTTAGTCATGACATGATTCTGTCATTTATTCCCTGTATCAATCCTCCTCGGTTTTTTTCAGATGCTCCTTGTTGACTAGTCTTGTTTGTCGCCATGGTTACATTATGAACTTTCCCCCTGCATGCTTAATAGGTTCCATGTTTGTTTAGCAGCTGATTGTGTTTCGGACTCCTTCTTGCAACTCCTGCATTCCTCTATTTATTAGTTTTTTCTCTAAATTTAAAAGTTAAATTTTTTCTGGTTTAAAAGCTTTCAAAACAAGATATTTTTAACCCCAATTTTGTCTCTTTTTTTAAATGCAGTAACCGTCCTTTAACACATTCAGAAGTTAACCTGAAACTCTATCCCAGTCAGTGTGAACTTTATCTTTAATTGAAATGTTTTAGAATAATACTATCAGATATGTAACCCCTACTTATGGATACAAAGGTGCAGTCTTGCACTGGCTTGTATGATCAGAATGTGGGTGTATAGAATGTTATGTGCCTTTCAAAAAAAGAGCATCTTCTTCAACTCCACCCCACAATCTTTCCTCTGTAAGCTCTCACTGCAGGCTTTCACTTTAGTAATGCCACCTGCTGGTTGAGTCAAGGTACCAACCAGTTAGTCCGTCAGATTGTTGCAAAGTCTAAAGCTAAGGGAAGAGAAACAAGAAGGGTGTAACGGTTATGATCTTTAGATTAATCTAACTTTGTCAGAAAGCAGATGAGTATCAAATGGTAAGAGGCACCTGTGCTGAAATTAGGACGGGACAAAAATAGAGACCATAACTCTAATCCCCATAGTCAGAAGATCACGTGTCTCAGCTGGGGCATTTCTGCAAGTTTTATCCACAAAGGGTTTTTTTTTCAGGTCTTCCTGAAGACATGCATGTGGGATGTGAAACAGTTCCTAAGTAGATGTGTGTCTCTGACAAACACACCACCTGCTAAGGAGGTAAAATGCATCTTTGGCTACTGGGACATGATCACTCTGTAAACCCTGAACACAGTCTGATGGGTTGTTATACATTTCTGCATCAGTCAGCCCCTAAAAGCTGGAAGACGTTACCGGAGAGTCAACACTGCTTGTTGAAATATAAAGTTCTCTATGATAGATGTCTGTGTTCTGTAAGGTGGAACAAAGCTGAGAGAGGAGTTTATCACAGCCTCTTAGACATTCAGCAGTAATGATGACATCAGAGCCAACATATGGATCTAGATCGGTCTCAATTTTCACAAATATACATATGTGATTTATACAGGCACAAGACAAGATTCACCAAAGTATTATAGGTGCATGAACAATCAGAAATTAAATTACAAAGTACCAGTAGTCTTTAAACTTCACTGCATTTGTGTGGATTTTTGAGACTTCCCTGACGTGCCTCGATACACAGATGCATTTTTTTAAACAGGGGATGGTTTGCCACCAATCACAAAGCTCCCTTGTATAAGCCAATCACAAGAAAATACTCCACGTTGGATGAACCCCCAGGCCAGGTCAAGATCCGCAATCGCCAAACACCAAACAGGAAAAAGAACAGCGGGAAGATCTTTTTGCTTGTGTGAATCATGCTGGATCTTGTCCTGCACATGTATGAATCACATATGTGTATTTGTGAAAATTGAGACCATAGATCTAGATCCATACAAACAGAGCTCTGGTATTGGAAATGTACGGGATTCTGTAGCTATCTAAATTCAATTATTGGAATCTGATTCGGAAGTGATAAGAGCATCCCTACTTATAACATCATAGTTAGTCGGCCATTTTAACTCAAGTCAACCAAACATTTAAAAAAGCTTCCTTCCACAACAAAAGGTTTAGTGTCAGTGATTTTTTGTTGTTGTTTTTTTTTATGTTTCAGGAATAAAGATATAGGAAGCTATCAAAAAAAAAAAAAAAAACTTTCTATAAAATGTCAAATCATGTCTGTTTGTCCTGGAAGAGAGGAAAACCTTTAGCAGATAACAGGAAGGCTGAACATATTCAAGAAAATTTGCTCTATTTTATCTTTTAGGGTTTTTAATTTCCTTTTAAACCATAGAGGGTATAAAAAAAATCTCTGAAGCTTTTTTAGAAATCTTAACGTCAATGTAAGAATCTACTATCCATTAATCTTAGACACAGAAACTACAGTTTTAATAATTCTAGCAACACAGCCAGAGCTAATTGCTAATATATGATTCTAAAGACATAGAACAATGTTAGAGTGAATCTCTTTGAAACATGCAGAGGAAAATTATCTCATTTTAAGGCAATTAATAACCTTACAGAGCAGTAAAGAGGAAAAAAGGATTGTTGGATGGATGGATGGATTCTGATGCAGCAGAGTGTGGCCACATTTACAAAAGAAAAAACAGGGATAAAACTACACAGAAATCTGCAGCAGCAATTAGCATGAAAACTATTTTGTGTTTTTCTTTAATAAACGCAAAACTAGCTTGCAGCATGCAAATGAAATAATGAGTATAGTTTGCTTTGTATGGAACTCAATTGGGACCATAAAGTTTGTATAAAAAAAAAAAGTTTGTTAAAAAAATAAAATTAAACCTGAAAAATAAGAGTCTTAAAGTAAAACTACTTTTCAGATTCAATTTTTTTGCAGACTTAGAATGCTGTACAAGTGAGATTAGCGTGGTTTATTCATGTAAGCTGCTTTTATTGGGGAAGCATTTTATTTTCTTAAAACCAATCAGACACACTGCCTCCTCCTTACCTGACAGAGCTGGTCATGGCTCCCCCGCCCTCAGTGGCTCCCTGGGAGTCTGAGTGGTATCCATTGGGAATGGCCCAGCGTCCAGGCTGTCTCAGTACAAACTCCGACCTGCTCCCCGGGATGGTTGTCCTTAATGGACTCCCCCCCATGGCACCACCCGCTCCAGCTGGACACACTGAGCTCGGCTCAGTCGTTTCATCACTATCCAGGGCATCTGGTCCAGCCTCAGCCCCTTCTTGTTCCTGAACGGTTTCCAACTCCAGCTCCAGAGGTTCAGGTCCCTGCAACAGCAACCTCTGTTGGATGAGCGGCGTCAGAGGTGCCTCGAAGCTGACGCAGCTGTCCGTCTCGTCAGTGAGTGACAGCACGTCCAGAGAGTCCAGGCTGCTGTAGCATGTGCCGCCCCTTAGCAATGCAGACTCCACAATTCGCTCAAACGTGGAGCTGAAGCCATCTTTGTTATCCACCACCTTGTTTTTCTCCTTTTCTTCTTCCTCAGACTCTCTCTCCTCTTCTTCGGGAACATCAACCTGCTCTACAATCTGCTCGAACGCTGAGCTGAAAGTGTCCTGGTTATCTGTTTCATCTCTCTGGGGCCCTTCCTCCTCTTCGTCGTCCTCCACCTCTGTGTCGGCCTGCTCTACAGTCGTCTCAAAGTTGGAGCTGAAAGTGTCCAAGTTTGGAAGTCCCTCCCTCTCTTCTCCATCCTCCTCGCCAACAGCATCTTCATCCTCGTTCTCACTCATACCATTTGCAAGTCTGTTAAAATGGGAAGAAAAGAACATTTGAAATTACCTTCACAGGATGTTTTATAGTCTAACACGCATTCAAACAAATGAACAACTAAGATGGCTGTGATTAAGCAAAAATATCCTTTACTACATTTCCCTTGAATTAGCAACATGGTTAGTTATTTGAAAGAAACACAGTTCTGGTCACAAGTTATAAATACCACAGCCTTAATTTTAGATTAATTTGATCATTTAATAACAAATCTTCCCCGTTCTGATGCTCGGTTTGAACTGCAGCAGATTGTCTTGACATGCCTAAATGCATTGAGTTCTGCCCTGAGATTGGCTGATTAGAAATTTGCATTAAGGAGCATTTGGACAGGTGTACCTAATAAAGTGGCCGTTGAGTGTCTGTTGCATTTGAACAACAGTAACACAGTTAATTTGTATCTCTTTTACCTTAATGCCTAATGTTTTAGATCAGTTTTTAACAGTGCAGTATAGCATTAAGTCAGGTTATTTTTTCCATTATGATAAATTTCAAAAGATGAGGAAGGAACCAAAAAAGGCTGATGAAAAGACGTAGGATGGGGATGTTCTTTATGGTGATGCAAATCTAGAGAGAGTTCTTTATGGTGATGCAAATCTGTACCATTACATATTAGATATTTAGATATTCCTTATGTGATTTTGGTGATTGAAACAAAACACTTTGCAATTATATTAGACAAGTATACAGGCTGAGGTAGTGTAGGAGGTGAGAAAGGGAGAAAATTGTAGAGGCAGAGCAGGAGGGAGCATCTTCCTGTGCAGGTGAGCGAAGTGAGGCAGAGGAGAGCAGTGGGGAGGAAGAGTGGGAAGAAAAAACTAAGCATAGGGAATCTGGCCGGGACCTCAAATGGGTTACCGCACAGATCAATGTGAGAATGAAAACAACTGGAGGTGTAATTCTCCCCCCAGGGCAACCCACCACCAGGATTAAAAACATCCTGGACGAAACCCGGAAGTCACTGACATTAAATTTACACCAGCTGTTTGTAACAGCTTAGTTTATCCAAACACACAAAGAGAACAACCTTAATTACACCTGAAGTTAGTGAGGAAAAAACAAGAAAGACAACGGGAATGTTTAGAGAAGACTTACTGATATATACGAGATACTTAGAAGTAAATCAATTGTTATAAAGCAATCAGATGGCTTAAGATAGGATCTTAATCCAATCTAGGCTAATGATTTTCCAGGAAACTTCGCTGTGGACAATGTTTGCTGCAAAATAAACTCTAAAGATGTTTACTCCAGTCTACATAATGAATGAAGTATGGATGCTTGTGTTCACTAACCGCTCCATTGGTTGAGGGTTAGTTGCTTCGTTCTTTGCAGATGGCTGAATATCTTCATTATTCTCTTCTTCTGTTTTGCTCGGATGATGCTCTTCTTCAGTGGAAGCTCCCCCCTCCTTATTTAGCTCACCTTCTCCTCCCTGGTCTTTTCCCTCTGCCCTCCCCTCTCCTTCACTTTGTGCCAACTCTTCTCTTGCTATGGTCTCCTCCCTGTGGTCCCTCTCCACAGCCTCTGACCTGTCCTTAGCCTCCTCATTGTGGGTTCCTGTAGGTGGATCTGTCGTGGCTGTTGCTGCGTCAGGCCCCAACGTGTTCTCCGGTGCGGTGGGAGTGGGCAGGGCCTGCCCCTCCTGGGTCATGGTGCCTTTCTCAGAGTGGGGTGACGGTCCACTCTGGCTGGAGGTGAAGACCAGAGCTGCCACTCACCAACCAGGGAGGATGCTGGAACAAAAGAGAAATATTAGCTTTGTCTGTTTTTCCCCCCGATCCTTAATATATACAGGAAAAACATAAAAATACTGAATAATTATTGATATCGACTGGAATGAAAGGCTTACATGGCAAGACATTTTTCAGCCTGACATGAAATGGTTTCCAAACAATAAAATTCTCAAACTCTGTTATCCTCTAAGGCCTTAATAGAAAAGTCTACGTTTCAGGAGTTTCCGATGTCACAGCACCACTCAGCTGAAGTACCGGCACAATAAAATGTTTATGTTGTTGTTGACTTTTTTTTAGGCCAATGCCTTGAACAGATTTGACTTCTGGAGCATCAGTAGGACATTACTGTAGCAGAAAAAAAAATATAGACAGCAGGCAGTAAAGAATTGTAGACAGAGAAAAAGTAGAAACCACATAGAGTCCGGGTAGCATAATCCTGCTGTGCATCGGTTGTCTGCTAACGTAGAGATTCCAGCTTTTACTGGTAGAACTTGAATGAGCAAGAATGAGCCTGGATTTAATTTCAATTCACATTTAACGTTGGCTTTGGTCAAATATCTTAAATTAAGAGGCTTTATACTGAGCAGACAGGGTTACAGTCTGAAACTAGCTCCCCTCTCTACTTTGGGATAAAATCCTGCAGAATTCCTAGGTGGCAAGTTTCTCTATAGTACAACCTTTTTCTTGTTTATCTGATTTATTTATTTTGCACTGCTCTGAACTTCCACATCAATGCCTTTTGGCGCCATATCTCTCCCAAACTGTTTACATTTTGATCACTGCTGCACTTTAGGAATGGAAATGTTTTTTTCACTGCTAGGCTTCTGCTAATTCACTTTCGGAAAGTTGTATAAACGAAATTTCATGTTGTGTAAACTCTGTGTCTACAAAATGACAATAAAAGTTTGTCTAAGTCACTTAGCAGAATCATATATTAGAAGCCTGGAAGATAGACGTGAGGAGAACATAACAAGGGAAGAATGATCTGAATCATGTAGTTCAGAACAAAGACAAACCATAAACAAAAACTCTAAAATACTATTGTTTACCTAGAATATATGTTACTCCGGCCAGGTTACACCATTTCAACTCATGATTTAAATGGAAGCGTTAGAAAGGATCTTAATTTCCATGAATATGGAAATGATTCCAAATACTAATCCTTTGGAAGAAAGCGTAAAAAGTGAAATAAGTGGCGAAGAGATCGGCAGAGCATACCATCTCTAATAGATATTTGTTTTCCAGAGGGTTAACGGAGTGCAGACTGTATGAGGAAAACTGAAACAACCTGTATCATAGCACAGTAATTAAAGGGAATGTGTTTATATTTGGTCCTGCAAAAAATAACTGGATGAATTTCGGAAGGTCTAGAGAAACTCCTTTCCTTGGAGACAAAAAAAAAAGAATAATTTGGATTATTTAAACATAAACTACTGTCTCATCCACCCCTCGTAGTCCTGGGTGGGGTGGGTTGGCTCCTTCTTCTCCAGCTGGGGTCCTCTACCAGAGGCCTGGGAGCTTGATGAACCTTTTCAGTATCTTAGCCGTATCTAGGGCTTCACATTTCTGGACTGAGATCTCTGATGTTTCTCCAGGTAACTGTTGGAGCAGCTTTTTCAGTGTTGGGTTTACTGCTCAGATTGCTCCTATGACCATGGGACCTACTGTTGCCTTCATCTTCCAGGCTTCCTCTACAATTGCCTTCACCTTTTAGGTTCTCTCTAGTTCTTCCATGAGGCATTGGTATTTCTCATGTTCTTTTTTCCAAATGTTTACATGACGTGTGGTGGCCATGTTGATCACTTCGGCTGCCCACTGTTGCTTATGAGATGCTGGATTGTTTCTGGGGCCTCTTGCATATCCTGCACCTGCGATCTTGCCTGGTAGACCTGGGCCTCTATTGCTCTGGTGATCACGGCCTGCTCTTGAGCTGCCACGATAAGTGCTTCTGTGCTGTCCGTCAGCCCAGCCCTTTCTAGCCATTGGTAGGATTTGATCATATCAATTACTCCAGCTATCTGTCAGGGGATTATCCCATGCAGGGTTTTTTCCTCCAATGATGGTTCCTCCAGTTCCTTCATTTCCAGCTTCCACTCTCTGAGACATTCATCCCTTGGGGCCATCTTCCTGATGTATTCTTGCAGCTTGGATGTTTCATCTTCAATGGTGGCTCTGATGTCTTTTGGGATGGAATCCACCATGTAAAGTGAGAAGCTTTCCTGTTTTAACATCAGTGTCCTGAATTCCCACCTTAGGCCAACTTATTATTAACAAGTGTTGCATATTTGCAGTGGTGATGCAAGAGGAGAAAGTTTGCATTTCTACTCTTGGATCACTGGCAAGATCCTTAGCTATGCTCTGAGCAATTTGATCATTTATTTTATATTGATATTATGCCTCTTTTTCATATGTGTCTTAGAATTTTCTTATGTTTATGCATTAAAGTCGTAGCGGCTGTTCCAACCGTTGCATTTTTCCGAATTCTCTCGAGTGGTGCACGAATTTACACGAGTGAATAAAGTGAATGTGATTGGTCGTTTATCAAGGGGGCGGGATTATTGTGGAGGAAAGTTCGCAAGCAATTTTGGTTGTAGCTGGTGTCTCAGAAGCATCATTGCTAACCAGTTAGCAACTTAGCGCTAGTAGGTTCCCAATGGGAAATTCCAATTAGACCAAGTAGCACTAAATTGGTGACTTAGTAATGACACTGTCAAGGAACGCTATGGACAGAGG